TTCTGAACCTTTTAGATTGAGGAGTTCAATTTCGCATTGGCTAAGGTTACTTTCATTCAAAGAAGAGTTTGTCGATGAAGTTGTCGATGTTCCTGAGGAGGAGAAGAAAAAGAAGTATTTTGGAGGTCAGTTGTTAACACTGTTAAGGTTTCATTGCGTGTTTGCTCTCGAATTTTTCTTTGATGCACTTTTGCTAGGAATTTTTCTTTAGTGCATTCCTTCAGGTTGTTTTCATCCATTAAGTTACGTGCTTTGTTGCTAGCTTGTTAGGGACTCTTTTTCTGGGATTTCTCATAAAAAAGGAAAAGTTTAAATTTTAGACGGAAATTGACTATCCCTCAACAAATAGGCCGTCGAATCGTCATGTATTTAAGTTTGGGAAAACCAAGAGAATTCTGAAAGCTGCTTTTCAGTACATTACCAGCTAATTTCCTTCCATCGTTTTTTACTTTAAACAGCTTCTGTTCTTGAGTTCCTGTTCGTCATCGATAAAACTAACGGTGTTGCCGTCCTTCTGGTTTTGAGTTTGTTGCTTCCACACAGCTACAATTTTTCGAATGAAACTTTTCATTTATCTGAGCCTGCTTTATGTATTTTAGATAGTGTTCTGGAAGGTTCCACCGATGGGAAGTAGTTGAAATAAGAATTTAAAAGAAGTTAGAAAAGCATCTCGCTCATTCTTCGTCTATAAAATTTAATTTGACTTGCGGTATATCCAGCAAAAATAGCGAGAATAAATATTGCGCGTTTGAGATTCCTTAGAAACTTTGGGAGCTACTTTGCCTTATTTTGTAATATATGGAAAATCTGTTTCATGTTACTTACTGGGGGTTTTCAACACTCCACTAAAGTAATGACTGATAGCACTTTAAAAAATAAATTCATTTTTTTTTGCAGCTTCTTTGGAACCACGAGATCCTCGGCCACCCTACGTAAAATATCGCGTTGGAGATGTTGTGCGACACAAAGTTCATGGTTACAAAGGTGTGATTATTGGCTGGGATGAAAAGGCAGTGGCGCCGCAAACGTGGCTGGACAAAACTCATAAAGGCAGAAAAGCAAGTGTCCACTTTAGCCCAGTCAGATGTACTTTCATTGCAGTTACAAATCACTTTCTTATGAATTATGAGCAGATGTGCTGACCGGTTATTTGTTGACCGATTTTAGGAATGGTCTGAAATGCCGAATTATTCAATAATTATTGATACAAGGGATCGACTGATTCCGCAGTTAGCATATGTTGTTGAAGAGAATATCGAACTCGGTGAGGGCAGGGTACGATTTTTCGTTTGTTCTGAAATGATTCACACGTTAGAAACATCGACTGGTTGGTTTAGTAATCCTCTTTTTTTCAGAATTCTTTGCCATTTTTGAGGTTTTTCTTTAAAAAAAAATTTTTTTTGCCTGATAATGGCAAAAGTCGTAGAAATCGTACAAAGATTAAGCTATGGCTAGTTCTGCATAGCACTGAGATGTTTTTTTGTGCGTTGTAATTGCCGTAAAATGGTACTGTTGTCAAGCCCAGCGCTATGAGGTTTCGAAAGTTCGTACTATGAATTACGTAAAAAAATTACCTAAAATTACAAACTTGATAGGAATTGGTACACATTTATTTGCAGTTTAATGCTGAGAAACAAGTTGTAGACGATCCTGGACTGAGACGAGCTGCTTGAGATTCTTGCCTCATTGACTCGTGTTAGTATCGCCTGCATTTTTAAGATTGTTTGTAAGCTGTACTTTTGGTATGGAAGAAGTTTTCAGGTGTTCCATCCACTGATCAAGAATTACTTCGAGTCGTTCGATGGAAAGCACTACGCGCCTCGGCCGTGGCACAGGAAAGTATATCCGAATGATTGACCATTTCCCAGGGGCCTCTTTCGTTTTGCGGGTATTATTGTTCATTTTGTAATGTTTTTGCTGTAATAATAGTTCGTGTATATAATAAAGCTGGGTTGTAACATTTTGTTCGATAAATAATATTACAACAGTCTGTGCGCCAAAAACAGCTTCATGCCATCAATGTTCATGCATCGCAGTGTTGGAACGTACACGTAAACTGGTGCGGAAAAGACTAGAGAGGGAAACACTGGCGACGAGGGTAAGGCCACTGAGGTGACGAAATAAAAATTAGCAGCGAACTGTCTGATAAACCCATGCAGTCGCCGCTAATGGATTTTATTCCTATACATACAGTGATTTTCAGTCTTGTCCGTTCATACATTCACTGGTATGCATGTTTGCTGGTAATGTCTCATCATTGTTTGGCCGTCAGAGCGGCTACGAAGGTTGAAAAAAAGAATTTAGGACGCGGGAATGGGCCGTGTGGTAGGCCTGTTGCTAATTTGTCTGGAGAGATCGGGTTGCTTTACAGAATGGCAGGTCGAGCTGAGGGACAAAAAAACTAATTAACTGGAAGGAAGAGCAGAATTAAGCACCGCTTCATTCAAAAAATACCAAATTTAGTCACTCTTCTCTTCCGAACGTAAACACGCATACAAAAACACACACAAAAAAAAAAAAAACTTGCAAAAGCAAATTCACAGACACGTAAACACACACAAACTCACACATATATAAGTACACACACACACACACACACACACACACGAACACCGACATACAACATACACACATACATAAGTACACACACACACATACATAAACGAACACACAGTGCAGCACACATCGGTCCTATGCACCCATCTAGGCTTCCGTTCCGTCGTTGAATTCACTTATTTTACAACATATTTGTCATTGCCGCCTTCGTCGCCGTTATTGGCGTTGCCGCTTTCACAGTGGTTCGTCACCAGCATCGTCAGCGATCGACTGTCCTGTTGGAATACTGCCGCTGCTCGTTCGCTGTGGAGCGCATTCCATCACTAGTACTGTGCTTTTTCAAAGTGGGTCCCAAAATCCGGAATTTTTAAACTGTCCATAGCTGCAAGAGCAGGCCTTTCGGAGGAATGGCGTAGTCTTTTTCGATGAGCATGTGATCTGTTTTATGCTTTCAAATATCACCTGGATAACTAGATCGACGGAAAAATCGGTGAGATATTGTTGTTATCGTTGTTACTACTGTTGCTAGGATGCGTGCACAGGCTGAGCGCAGCGATTCTGGAATAGAGATATTATGAAATATATATGAAACATAAAATCTGACGAAGAGGGATGCTTCGACCCATTAAGACATAGTTATTTTTATTCTGCTCTAGTCCCTGAAAGCAGCTTTCAGATCTTTTTCGGTCCTGAGCTGCTTGCCTCCAGTTAGCACCTACCGCATGTGCCAAACACATGCGTTGCTTCTTGGGAAATCGTCCAAGTGGTTTTTTATGCGTTTTTGCAACTGTGCAATGCAGGCAGGAAACGCAAATTGACGAGAGGTTGTGTGTGTGTGTGTTCGCTTGTGCCGATTTTTCATCTCGAGACCGGCAAAAGCTACAGGGCTGAAACTTTGAGGACATAAGCTACATGCACGTACGGGCCCCCACTCCTAAAATGGGTAGTCTTACCCGCGTGGTACCCGCGCAAGAGCCCGCCAAAATTTTTTTAGGGTAAGTTGATAACTTCCGAACCAGGAAAGCTAGAAAGCTGAAATTTTAAGGGTGTGTTCCCCGTCCAAGTATATACTAATGAGCTCAAACCCAACCCCCGGGTAAGCGTAGTATCCGCGTCCGGGCCCGCCAAAATTTTTTCCGAATAAGTTCGTAACTCAGGGTTCTGAGAAGCTAGAAAGCTGAAATTTTAGGGTGGTGCTCCCCGTCCATGTGGGTATCAGTGAGCTCAAACCCAGCCCCCGGGTAAGCGTGGTTCCCGTGTACGAGCCCTCCAAAATTTCTTCCGGATAAGTTCATAACTCGGGGATCTGAGAAGCTGAAGGACTGTAATTTTAAGAGGATATATCCCGCCCACCTAAGTTTCATTCAGCTCAAACCCAACTCTCGGGTATGCGTGACAAAAACACACAGGACCGTAAAAATTTTTTTCCAGTAAGTTGCTATCTCAGGAGCCAGGGAAGCTAGAAACCTGAGATTTTAAAGGGGGTGTTTCCTAACAATTCTGGCGGTCAGTCTTAATTTGTTTAGTTAGAAGCGTTTGCCGAAAAATTCGGTGCCGGTAGCAACAAAAACTGCGGGAACTGTGCAAAAAACGCATCTTCGCACGGGCAGCCCGTGCGTTGGCCAGTTATTTTTCTGCGGATGCCATTTGCTGATAAAAAAAATGTCAGCATTTTTCAAGTGCAAGCGAAATAAATTGCAACACGCACTAAACTAGCCGGTGCGATCATGCGTTTTGTGCAATCCTGCCCCTCGAACGACTGCCTATTAATGATTTTAGCTGTTCTGTATTTTAGTTTATGCAAAAATAGTTGAAACGTTGAAAAATAGTTAAAAATTTCACGCGCCAGCGCATGAAAGCTGAATTCGAAACATTTAAGGGTGAAAATCTTCCCGTGATTCTCAAGTCAATAGTTTACCCGTCAAAATTTTCACGAGGCCGTAGGTGATACTCGAGAGCGCAGGGACGCTGGATGTGTATTTAAAAGATCGTTCGTGGGCAAGGGGTCGCAGTCCTAAAATTTCGGCTTCTTCGACTTTGTAGTTCTCGAGATAATAATTTACCCGTAAAAACTTTCCTTGCCCGTAGGTGATACCCGAGAGCGCGAGAACATTGGATTTGAATAGGCAAGGTTGAGCGTGGGCAGGGGCCATTACCCTAAATTTTCAACTTCCTGGACTCTGTGGTTTTCGAAATAACAATTTACCCGCCGAAAATTTTCACGGGACCGTACTTGTTACCCGCGGGCAGGGGAAAGCTGAATTTAAATTTTTTGGGTAGCACATAGGCGGGGGGACATGCCCACAAAATTTGAGCCTTCTACCTTCTGTGATTCCCGAGATCTGATTTTACCCGAAAAACTTTTACGGGGCCGTACATGTTACCCGCAGGTACGGAAAGCTGATTATGCGTTTTTTGCAGCTATGCAATGCAAAAACGCATATTGACAAGGGGTTGTCTGTGTGTCCGTGTGTCTGTGTGTGCGTCTGTCATGCAGTTTCATCTCAAGACCTATAAAAGCTGCAGGGCTGAAATTTCGGGAACTTAATCTACATGCACGTGC